GTTTCCTGCTCAGGAAAAAGGCCACAGAAACTGTTGTGCTGTGGAACACGGCTTACAAAGACAGCGCAGTGGGAAAAATGCAAGTGTCTGAGTGGTTTTGTTTCGTACAAGGTGAAATGTTGATTGACGACAAACCTCGTTCTGCCAGCTTCCCGCAAGGACACAAATGTCCACTTGGTGCATTTGGGGTTCATTCCACAGGTCAGATGGTTAATCAGCCTTTCATTTAGAGGTTCTGAAAAGACAGCGTACAGTGTGCGGCAGGCAAAAGGCCTGACTTGTGGCAGACGGGGGCCTGCTTTTGCCACCACGACAATGCACCTGCCCATGCAGCCATCTCAATGCATCAGGTTTGGCAAAACCCAGCATGCCTCCTTGCCCCACCCCTGGGCCTCCTGACCTCACTCCATGAGACTTCGTTTCCGAGAATGGAGAGGGGCTCGAGAGGATAGTGGTTTGAGGTCGTAGAAGAGGTGAAGGAAACACCGAGAGAGACGCTATCAGCCACCCAAACAGATGAGTTTGAAAAATGTTCCCGAGAATGGAATCGTAGCTTTGGCAAATGTATAAAGTGTAACGGAGAGCACTTTGAAGGTGAAAAGGTTGTTTTATAAAAAAAATTTAAATACCTAACTTTGGGGGGGGGAGGGCTTTTGGTACCCTCACGTGTATTTCATTTACACGCACTTCAGCCTCACGCACTCTGCTCAGGCCCTTTGAGCCCCTCTCTCTATCTCAGATCACGGGAAAAATATTTGGGAACATTTGTTTTTGTTCAGGGATCCTTTGCTAAGAGAAAGCTTTCTGCGACTGGCTCTACAGAGGCAAAGGGAGAGGCTTCCCCTTTCTGGGACAAAGCACTTCGGTCTCACTAGGAGGCCTCCACTGTTACCTCTCACACCCAGGGGTGACGGTGCTTGCTCCCATGTTACAAAGCGAGGTCACGGTTCTTAGTTTTGCTGACAGCGGTAAGCACCTTTGTGAGGAGTTCCTTTCCTCCTCCCTCTGTGGGACGTCAAACCAGACTAGCTCTGAGTCGGGGCCACCTTCGGGGTTCAGAGAACTGCTCTGTGAGAGCTTTGAGGCTCGGACCTTTTGGAAGGTCACCACGTCTGTCTTGCCAGGTGGAACCACGGGGTTCAGAACCACGGACATTTGGCTACTAGTCAACCACCTAACCATTTGGCTCACCCAAGAGCCGCCTAGGCTGTCCATAATGGTGCTGTGGTTTCAGCCTCGTGACCTCCAGAGGTCAATGGTAAGAAGCAGATACCCAAGCCCGGGTGCTTTTCATTCTTGAGGCATGAGCGGTTTTGGAATAGCAGTCGCTGTACCATCTGCCCCAGGAGACGGTCTGCTGCCTTCCCACACCTCCCCAAGGAAGATGAAAGAGCAGATAAGATGACAGAGAAGGCGGGGCGTGGGAACCACAGGAAATGTCCCAGGAGGCGGATGTGGGGCATGGGCCCCTTTTATGGTCCCAGGCAGACTCCCAAAGAAAGGCCAACCGCAGTCTGCCAACACCAGTGCCTGGGGGTGGGGTGCGTGGAACCAGTCAGCCAGAGACAAACCACAGATACAGCTTCATTTGTGGTTAGATTTGTTTCCTATAAACATTCATCTCTGCGCTTAAAAATCTCACGTAGAATCACCATCGGCGGGCAGAGGAGAGGCTCTGTCTGCATTACAATGCAGTGCCACTCTCAGGGGCATCGAAGGTGCGCGTGGTTGAGACTGAGCACGGGCATTTCTGGCGTCTTTGGCACGATTCCCGTTTGTTTGTTTAGGTTTGAAAGCACAGGTTGGAC